AATCATCTAATCGATAGATTTTCTTCATTTTTTTCGCTAAACGTATAAAATCGGCGGAGGAAATGATCCCTCAAAAGAAAAATAGGAGTCACCGAACGTCCAAGATCGTTAAATCCAGGCAAAGCTATAGCAATGGCCATCTGCCCTGTCATTGTTCATTTTTCTTACTTAGCGCGCGCTCGATGCATGACGTGGCGTGTGAATTTGCGTGCGCAGTAAGGATGCACAGAAACGATTAGCGCGAACGGCCTCAACGCAAAGTACCATGATAACAAATTTTCGGGCTTGCAGTTTGGTCACATCTCAACGAAACTCGACGTCATCACAGAACTGCACGTCCTCAGAAAACTCGACGACCTCACAAAACTTGATGTCCTCACAAAACTCAACGTCCATACTAAACCGGATGTCCTCCGAAAATGTGACGTCCATATAAAACTCGATATCCACACTAAACGTGACATCCGCACAAAACTCGATGATCAAGCAAAACTTGACGTCCATAATAAACTCGCCGTCTACAAAAAAAATGGATGTCCAAACAAAACTGCACCTCGCCACAAAAATTGATCTTGACTCAAAACAAAACCCAACGTCCTCTCTAAATGTGACGTTGGTTTTCTTTGGATTTAAATACTGTAATCTCTTTTTAAATTTATTCTTCCTGAAAGGCTCCATTGGGAATACTCAATAAAGTTTGTTTGTTTGTTTTACGGTCTACAACCGTGTACATGAGACTCTAAATTTTTGACTGTAGTGGTGATTGTTCAACTTAGGCCCCGTTCACACTACGCTGGAGAAATTTGGAAAAGGTGTTTTCACTCTGAAAACGCATGAAATGTTTTCCGTCCACACTACGCAGGAGAAATTCGTAAACGCAACAATCACCGGTCATTTTGGATTTGTGTTTGAGGAAAACTCGGGCAGGGAAATCACGTGATTATCGTGACGTCATCGTTTTTGAAAAGCCCGTTTTCAAAATGTTTTCTTTCCACACTAAAACGCAAAGCCGGCGTTTTCAAATTTCTTCGGTTTGAAGAGCATTTTTGAAAAGCTCCGTTTTCGTGACAGATTAGTGTGGACGGCGGGCGTAACCGTAGAAATAAAGTTGCGTTTTCGAATTCCTCCGATGCAGTGTGGACGGGGCCGTAGATGTAACTTTGACTTTGTTATCTCTCTGGCTTTCTTATCCAGACCGCCGCCTCCTCCATTCCGTGGTCCACCTCAACAGTTTGACTACCAGCACCAGAGGCCAGAATTTGAGCAGTATGATGGCAGGGGACCGCCACCAATGGTGAACGACTACAACCACGGCCGATCGCAAGAAGAGGAAGGGTACGGTATGGAGGAATATGACATGCCACCCGAGCCACCCATCCCTGAACCTATCATACCTACAGCCATGTACTATGAGCTCCCTGCTGGCCTTATGGCTCCCTTAGTAGGGGTAAGTGGCACTAAGTCAAGACGCTTGTTTGCGTTAGTTATGGTAATGCATTTTATAGCATACTATCCAGATACTTGTGTTCAAATGATGCACTTAACAACTGAATCGGACGTTGGCTTCTCAAACTCAAAGTCACTGGATATCTGATCTTAATAAACATAGATTTTTACGACTTCATTTCTCCGTGTTCTCTGTGTTCAGAAATGTGGCCAAACACGGTGTTTCGTGTTTGATATACTACTTGTTCAGGGGCCTATGTCAGGTGATATCAGTCCATTCATGATCTCGCCCCGCTCACTCAATGCATATAAAATATGCATAATTGCTAAAAAAAAAAATCACCTGAGGCGCATCTTACCCTACTTGTACGTGCATTTGTTGGCTTTTAAATTTTCTTTCGAATATGCCAGAGTTGTGCACTTCACTGTACTTTAAAATACCGGGGTAAATTTAAAAAGCATCTGTGTACCGAATGAAGTCCATACATGAGTACGAAGGTTAGTGCTTCCCTTACTAAGTTGATGTTACTGTTTGGCCAAGAAATAATCAGACTCGAAGATAAAGAGGTGAAAAAATTTATCAAATAGTCTCTTGAGTCGGTTATTTTGTTCTGTGGTATAGTTGCCGGACGTGGACTACAAACCAATAGATCCGGCTGCTCTTCGTCTTCCCGCACCGCAGCCACCAAGTGAAAGACTTCTGGCTGCAGTTGAAGCGTTTTACAGTCCTCCCAGTCACGAGAGGCCCAGGAATAGGTTGGTGATACCCTGAGCTTTTTATTACAAAGTTTTACCAACATATAATCTCTCCTTACAATATCCATATATTGTTAAGCAGACAAGTGATGAGGGCAAAGAAAGTCATCAACTAAGGCATATTACATTGATTTTCCTTCTAATTCTCCCAGCAAACATTGAAAGAGATGTATAGCTATTGGTAAGGAGAACTGATATCTTTGTATCTAGGGTTAGGATGGAACCCCGGGAGTACGATCTTCTGAAATCGTCGGAAAACACGGACGTTTTCCGAAGATCTCCGTAAAATCTTGAAAAAGCTGCTTTGCCTAGGTTCAGGGGATACTGAAACGCGGTTAAATATGTAAATATGTTAAATATATTTTTCGTACTAATTTGAAAATATTCGTAGTTCTTTTGCTAGTAAAGCATTTTTCTGCATTTGTGCTACATGACCACTGTACTCGTGGAAATCTGTTTTAGCCGATCAGTCCTTAATGACACTTTTTGTGGCTAATATTTTTGTAACCCTGTTCTTTTTAGTGAAGGTTGGGAGCAAAGTGGTTTATTTGAATTTTACAAAGCAAAGCTGAAGTACATCAAAGATCGCGAGGAAGCAGAGAAACTCAAAGTGCAAGAATTCCCACCAAGCAGATCAAGGTAAGGCTTAAAAAAGGAAAATGAACTAAATTAAACTACTTCTGATTTTTCAGAGGAAAGTCGTATCAGCCAACACTTTTTTTATGTTGTCATGCATTCTTTTGTTGAAGTAAATTACCGGTAATTCTCATCTCTATACTGTGTTTAAAATTCCTTAAGGTTCATTTACTGATTTTTCCACTCACTATCATCACTTCTTTTTGTCTTCAGATCAAGGTCTCGGTCCAGATCACCCCGACGGTCACGTTCTCGTTCCCCTTCTCCTCGGCAGCAGCGATCTCGGTCTCGATCTCGTTCCAGATCTCCCAGGAGACGTCACTCTCGCTCTCGAAGCCGGTCCATCTCTCCGAAGAGGAGAAGGTAACACAGAATCACCTTACGAAGATTGAGGAGGGGCGGGGGGGTGGGGGGAGGGGGAAGCGTTACATGTAAATTAAGCAGTAAATAATTCTGGTAATGAATAAATCATGTCTCGAAGTTTTAAATTAATCGTTTTGTAGAGGCTTCAGTTTCTGTATTGTATTGCAAAAACCAAAACAACAACAGCAGCAGCAACAACAACAACGATATTTTTAAACACTTTACATTGATGTATTTTGAAGTATTTTTTTTACAGCAAATTAAGTTACATGTCATACTGACCTTAAGTGCAATTGCATCTGACAATTTCGTTTGTATAGTACGGTATAAATGTACTGGTTTCGCAACGTTTCTTCATTGTATCACGACTGTACTGTCCCCATATGAATCTCTCTTTCTGTTTTTAGATCACGATCGCGCTCGAGATCTCGGTCACGCTCACGCTCAAGATCACGCTCGAGATCACGGTCACGTTCAATCTCGCCAATGTTCAAGTCTAACAGAAGTCCTGGTAGAAGTCCCACTCCACCAAGTTTCCAGTGAGTGTTAAAAAGGCACTTCCCTCTTATTTTAGTGGTATTTGCGGATAATGGAGTAAAATTCCTTACGACTCAGGAACACATGCATGCGTAAGCTGACTCAAAAGTTTTTTTGTCCTTTTTTTTTTTCGTTTCCAGTCCATCGTACACGTCAAAGGTGCCTGAGCAGAGACTGGATGAAAGTAATGTGGGACATCAGATGCTTAAGAAAATGGGTGAGTTCAATTCTTTGGAAAAAGTTTGAGCAAGCGTGACACTATGACGATAAACTAAATATGAGGCTGAAAAGGCCCTTTAGAGTGTTAAATAGTAGCTTGTTTATTAAATGTTTCGGACTTCGCCCTTCTCATCCTCGGAGACCCAGGGGCAGTCAGTTGGGGCGGGAGGAAGTAAATCGGGCAAAAACTGAAGCGTCGAAGGTTTACAAGTAAGGCTTTTCCCCCTTACTTGTAACCCTTCGACGCTTCATTTTTTTTTGCCCGATTTATTTCTTCCCGCCGCAACTAACTACCCCTGGGTCTCCGAGGATGAGCCCTTCTTCAGTATATGAAACGTGATTTGCAAACCCTACTCTCCATATTTACACCGTAACTTCATGTAGACCAACTTAATTTACATACAGAGCAAAACGTCAGAGCAAGGTGCAGTACTAAATCAGTCCTTGTAATGCCTGCATCTACGTGCCCCTTACGTTGTACGTACAGCTGTGACATTATTTGCTAATTCAGTGTCCTCTGTTTTTTCCTTGCGTTTAGGATGGGAAGGAGCTGGCCTGGGTAGGAGTCAGCAAGGAATCTATGATCCGATATCAGGGGGAGAGGTTCGGGATAAGTTTGACAAGTTTAAGGTAAGAGATACAATCTGTCGGTGAATCGATCAATCAATTAAGCCCCCTCCTCACTACGTCGCAGGAATTTGAAAACCGAGCTTTATTGCTCCTGTTAGGCCTTCTGTCCACACTATAATCCCGTCACGAAAACGGAACTTTTCGAAAACGCTCTTCAAACCGGAGGAAGTTGAAAACACCGGCTTTTCGTTTTCGTGTGGACGGAAAAACAGTTTGAAAACGGAGCTTTTCGAAAACGATGGCGTCACGAAAATCATGTGATTTCCTTGACCAAGATTTCCTCAAACGCAAATCCAAAATGACCGGTGATTTTTTTAGTTTTTACATTTCTCCGGCGAAGTGTAGACGGAAAAAAATTGATGCGTGTTCAGAGTGAAAGCTCCGTTTTTAAATTCCTCCGGCGTAGTGTGGATGAGGCCTTAGACATTCAATCAATCAGTCAATCGATCAATGATAACTATTTATGAAAAACGGGTAATTCATCAAGATTTAATTCAGAACTTTTAAGAAATTACAAGAAAACACAACTGAACTAACAGTGATGAACATCTCATTTCTCCTTACAATATCAACATAATGTTAAGCAGTCTGGTGATGAGAATGAGAAAATCATCCTTGACCAGGGGATATTGCCTTGATGCGCTAACAAATTCTTAAAGCTCACATTAAAAGAAACGTATGATAATCATTAGGGAGTATTGATGTATTGATGTTCGTCTATCTCTAGGGAGTAGGTGCTGACATGAAGGATCCATTTGAAGCGTACAGGAAAAGTAAAAGCTACTCATTCCTTGGATCGCGTATCGGCAAGTATTTTATTTTATGCGACGTGCTTACAAATTCAGAGACGGGATATAAATACTGACGGAACCTCTAAGAAGCCCTCGAGAATGCTCTCCGTCATTTTGCATGTCAGTTTTACAAACCTGATAATTCAGTTCTGGCCCCCTCTCTCTGTCACGCAACGCTCCGCTCTCGACCCTTTTTCTCGAGAACGTAACGTTGCGTGACGGAGAAAGGGCCAGAACTGAACTATTACCTTGACTGAAAATAACGTTATACTAAGAGAAGGATCTCAGTGTAATGCACCAGCACATAAAGCTACAGATCTGCAAGTTACTTGACACTATGCTTATGTTTTTCTGTTCTGTTATCCTTTTCAGCTAAGTCCGAAGCAAAAGCTGCAGCAAAGGCAGCTGCAAGAGAAGAGAAGGAGAAGGAGAGAATGAAAAAGTGAATTCAGTCACCTTTGTCAAAAGCACGACATTCTTGAATTACGTTCTGCTCTCGTCACACAGTGAAACTACTGTAGTTCTTTTTGTGTGAAGATTCCGACTGAGCGCACAGTTCTCGCCAGTCTGGTTGCCAAGCAACATGACATGGCCCTGTGATGTCAAGCTCATGCGACCACATTCGTCGTTTTCGTGGATGCTCGGCCAGTTTCCTGAATGGTCGACATGTATCGGAAACTCCTCCATCATCTGTGTCGAACTTGTCAAGGATTTGCGAAAAGTTTCCCCCTTCCCTGTCAATGGGCTAAAATTGTATCTAATCCCCCTGTACTGCTTGGAAGAACTCCCTTGATAGCGCGGGGACTTTTTTTCTCGCGAAAGCCACTGTTGCGTGCATTTCACTTCAGATAAAATGAACTTTTATTAACTCCTCATACCCCATTGGTTCACAAACTAAACTTATGTTGCAAAACAGGTTTTAAAGTTTGGAAGCCAGCTACAAGATAGTTGTGGTTCCATTCTTGAAAACGTCTTTGCTAAAGGCTCCTATTAATTAGCTGTTTCAGTTCATAACCTCTTGTGAACTTTGCTTTGAGTGCAATATCGTGTGGTGAGGTATCCAGAAAGTTTGGGTTTCTGTAAAGCAGCCTTATTCAACATTAACGTTATTTACGCTTTAGCGTAAAACTACTAAGCCACAGTATTGAAGGCTCTATGGTCTTTGGATACTATAACACGACTGCGCTTTAAGCTCCTTAATGTACAAACAATTGCACATTAAGGCGAAATATTACTGAAAAAAATAATTTCTTGTGTTGCCTCCCATACGCGCCTCGCGAGTAGAGCCTCTTTTATATAGAAGTAAATGTGGTAAGAAAGGCTCTGCTTGCAGGGTGTTCATACGCGGCCCAACCAGAATTAACTATCATGCATGGAAATCGAAAGCCCTGTAACTTTTTTTGCTAAATAAACA